TAAAGTCAATACTATGAAATAAGCAATAAAAGGTAAACTGGTAAGTTGGTTTTTTATTAATAATATATGAACAAAATATTCATATTTCTAAACAGTTGGCCACAAAATGGGTAACTTCTTCAGTACTTTGGTCAAGTCAGTACAGATAATAATCATGCCATTGCATAGTCACATTGCCTCACATTTCCTTGTAGTTTATACTGCTGAGATGAGAACAAGTAGTCACTAGAGAATGTATCCTTAATTCTTTAATGCTGAACCCATTGCCTTCTCACTCTTTTATCAGGCCTGCCTGAAACAATAAATATTAATGGGTTCAACTTTGCAGAAAAAAGATCCTCAGGCTTTTGCAAGTTGTTTCTGCACTGTTACCTCATCTTGATCATGCCTCATCTACAAAATTCACACTTCATAAACTAGACTGTATTCTTATTTTTTTAGACTTCTTATTCTTCTTATTCTTCTTGTTCTTCTCTGATTATTATATTCTCATTTTGTCATTCACCATTTTTCTCTCTCTATGTACAAGGACTTAGCCAGTATACTTGCCATAAAATGTTTTGCCACTTTAGCTAAAAAGGACTGGTTTTCTGGAGCGAATCCCTCCAGAAAATAGATTCACCTTAATTGAATAGCTTTTGGGTTTCCTTTAAACAGAAAATCATTTCTTCACAAAGCTGTACTGATGGATATCCAAGCAATCCCGCAGTGAAGCCCTAGGCAGGATACTCTTGTTTGCTTATTCAGTGGTTTGTGAAGACTGAAAAACACATTTAGGTAATATTTAACCCATGAACAAACTTTTTTTTTCCATAAAACAAAAATTTCTTTGTCTCTAGAACTCTACATAGAATAATTTTAGATATTAAAACTCCAAGTGACATATTTGAGCCTTCATATTTTTCAAATGCTTATGTATTATTTCTCAAAATTTTAAGAGGAATTAGCAATTAAGAGTATGTAGTAGTATTTATTCTGTTGCATGATATTGATGCCAAACAGATATAATCAGTGATTCATGATGATGATAACTTTCAACAATTCTATAATTTATAAAATATCTATAATGTATAACATCTCTAATCTCAAATTTCGTAAAAATACTGCCAAAACCACATAATTACTACTCATCACAGGGACTCTTCAATTTCTCTGTTACTCTGTTCTGCAACTCATGTAACTTGACCCTTGGGGAAAAAAAGTAAATGTTCATAAAATTCCTAATGTCTATAGACAGCCAATAATGGAATAGATATTAGTTATTAATACCCAGTCCTGTAATTGGTTTCATTCCTAATGGTAACAACTATTTATAACTTTATGTCTCAATAAAGATGAATCGAAAAGGGAGTGAATGTCTCTGTGTTTCCCAGTCCCTTGAAGCTACTGAGGGTTGAAAACCAGAGCCTGTGCAGGTAGGTAGAAATCCCACCTTTTAATTCTCTAGCATCAGGTTCCATAATTATCTCCTTTTTTAAATATTCCCCACAATTTACTTCTCTTCTAGTCACCCTTTTCTTTTGTTAACTCACTTTATTTAAATGATTTTCAGTCATTGTTTGATATACTTCTGATCTTATCCTCAGAGTTAAAACTATCTGATAGATGAACAAAACATATTCTTCAAAGCTCTAGTATATTTTGAAAATAGAATGTGAAGTATATTGGGTCTTCCATCTCCTTTTTCTCTGAATATTAGGATCATAAAAATAAAAAGCAATGTCTGTGTCTTTGCTCTTCTATTCCTACTGAAACAACATGAAAAAAGCATGCTAGCTTTCTATCTGCCAAATTTATTCAACCACTGTTACCAGTCTGAAAACTCTAGGTCTGCTTCCTGAAAAATCATCAAAATTATCGTAATAGAGAACACTTATTTAGCACTTAATGTATGTTCAGGCACTGTCTGATGTTTTCTTGTTGCAACTCATTTAGTCCTGAAAACAACTATAGGAGACGGTGACTGTTAGTATCTGACTTTAACAGATGAAGGAACAGACACATCTGGCAACTGAGTAACTCACATGGAACACACAGAAGGTAAATGGGGGATCTGGGAGATGCAAACAGTCTAGCCTTTTGGTCTGTGACCTTAAACACTGTGTTTTACTATGTATTGGAAATGGCTCCTATATAAATATTTCCATTGACTCAATTTATTTTGAAACATTTGTTTTCAAGTTAAAAAAATAAATGTTACCTCTAAAAAATATAGCAAATCAAGTTGGGGATAAGGAAACAAATATAATATTATTTAAAATCCCACCATATGCAGAAAATTGGGGTGAGTCCAACACATTTACCATGAAAAATGCCATTACTCTGCAAATGTTTCCTTGACTTATTGATAACCTCACACTACTTATAGTAGATTTAATATTCATTTTTAAACCTGCTTTATATGAATATATCCACTTATTTAATCACTGTCATTCTTAAACAATGTGTTTCCAATTAGTTCACATTATTCAAAATGCTCATAGTAATATGATGTTACAAATCCATTGTGTTCATGTGTCTATTTCCTTTCAAAATCATTCCAATAGAATTACTGAGTTATTTATTTATTTTTAGTTTTTGAGAGCAAGTGAGAGAGAGAGAGCACAAGTACAAGCAGAGGGAGATGCAGGCGGGGAAGAAGTAGGCTCTCCGATGAACAATGAGCCTGATATGGGGCTCAATCCCAGGACCCTGGGATCATGACCTGAGGTGACAGCAGATGCTTAATAGATTGAGCCACTCAGACAGCCCCCCGCCTTTTTTTTTATTTTTATGACTCAGTTAACTTCTAGAATGACTGTACCACTTCACATTTCCCTTCAGCTGAGAATGAGAAGCACTTCTTCCCCAATTCTAAAGCAGCAATAGGCTTATTCATTCTGTTGAGAAAATTTAAAAAATGGAACCTACTTTCTGAATTTGGAGTAAATCTCTTTGATCCCAAGTTTTAAAATTAATTCACATATTTTATTAAAATTATATAATTTTACTTGTACATTTAAGCCTTCTAATCACCCAGAATTTCCTTTAAACCTGTTATAAAATGTAAGATAAGATACTTAAAATTTCATGTTCCCAATGTTGAGGTACATGTTTAACAACTATCAAATATTCTGAATTTATTTTTATTTTAATTCCAGTGTAGTTAACATAGAGTGTTGTATTAGATTGAATAGACCTTCATTACCTACATAATTGTGATGCCTTTTTATCATATACTAAATTCTCTATTTGTATCACAGTCTTAACTGTGTTTTGTTATGTTTATCTGTTCAACTTTTGTCAAATTAATCAGTTTAATTCATAAAGATTTAGGATATACTCTAATATCTTTCATAATAAGCATTCTCATTCCTTTTCTAATTTCCATTTCATTTCTTTTTTTAATATTTTATTTATTTATTTGACAGAGATCACAAGTAGGCAGAGAGGCAGGCAGAGAGAGGGGGGGGGGAAACAGGCTCCCCACTGAGCAGAGAGCCCTACGTGGGGCTCGATCCCAGAACCCTGGAATCATGACCTGAGCCGAAGACAGAGGCTTTAATCCACTGAGCCACCCAAGCACCCCTCCATTTCATTTCTTTTGCAAAATTTTCTGAGCTTTAAGATGGACATTTAAGTCACTTTTTAATATTCTAAAAGATTTTCACTGCACTGATTGGTCAGTGAGAATTGATATTTTTATTACTTGGCGTTTTCTTCTCTCCATTTGCATAGTTTCATTTCCTATATCATATAGGGTTTCAAATATTTCAGAAAAATTTATGATTTTTCAGTGGAATGCATACACTGAACATTTGGTTCACTTATAAATGAAGTTTCTCTTATATTTAATAGGTTATTACTGACACTACATTTATTAAAATGATCTTATTAAATGTAATATTTCTTAATATTTGTCTTAAGTTTTTGAGGTAGATAATTGAGTGATTTGTGAGTAAATATATTTTGCTACCTTCCCTTCGGTATTATTGGATTTAATCATTCTGACTATGTAATATGATTGAAACAGTGCTGTAGGCTTCCTTTTTATATTACTGATTCTGATATTTCATCTGTAATCAGATTTTAACTATTAGTTTAAAAATGCTATTAGAATCATGTTAAAAATAGTAATCTTTCCTAATTTACTCAGGGTTTTTTATCAGGAATCAATTTTGAAACTTATCCAGTTACTGTTTAGGGCATTAATTCCCTATAATTTTCATGGAAATATCTTCTGAAACCAAATATTACTCCTCTCTTTTCAAAGTAGTAGGAGATACGCTGTGGGGTTTCAATAATTTTCTCTTGACAGACAAACTAGAGGCTTTAAGTAGGAAAACCACATGATTCTTTTTGACTTTTGATAGATAATATCTCAAATCAAACTATAGAGTGGACTGGACTTGGGGAAGAATGGAGAAGAAAGATCATTGAGTACCCTTTTCAATTGTCAAGATGGGAAAATATATGGACTAGAAGCAGAATAATATGACAAGAGAAATGAAGAGGAGAGAAATTAAGAAATATTTGACAATAAAAGTCATGCAACTAGAGGTGGAAAGGGTAATACAAACAAAAGTCCCATACAGATGTTTATATTGGGCATCTGGGAAAATGGTAATGATATTTATTAAAACATTGGAGTGGAATACAATGAGTTCAGTTTGTCATGTTAACTTGAAGGTGGAGGCCAGACTTGAATTTGTGTGAATCGCATACAGCTTTAAATATATTGCTCTCAAGTCCAGTGATAAATCTAAGGAGGGAGATCATTTGTGGCTTTGGGTAAGTGACTCTACATGCAACTTGGGGCCCAGATAACTTTAGAACTTTTCACTATTACTTTTAGTATTTGAGCTTTAGAATTTTATGGTTGCTTCACCTTTAAGCATCAATTAGCATCAAATGCAGGAAAAATGAACCAGGAAAATCCATCTGCACATGAAGATATGTCATTTTATTTGGGAAAGAAAACCCTTCACAGACGACATTGATTTACAATTCACTGAACAGTCATGGGCCGTGTGACCCATCTTACACCAATCCAGGACCAAGAAAAACGTAATTATAGTAACTAGGTTAGAAAAATCATATAATATACTTTCAAGGGTTACTCCCTCCTAATTGAAGTGATTTCAGCTCACTACCTGAACAAACAGAATTTCTACTGGCAAGAAGTGGGAAGGGGAATGGCTTTAAAGAAGACAGGAAGCCAAAGGCAGAAGGGGTTACAGAAACAATGGCATGATAAACTATAAAAACCTGCAGAAAAATCAAGGTAAATAATGACTGAAAAGTGATTATTACATGAGGAATCTGGAATCTAAAGCTTCTTTCTAACAAACAAGAAATCTGTGGACACCATTTTTAGCTTATGAATGAACAAAAAGTATGGACCAGCTTACCAATGAAGAATTGGAGAGAGAAAAGTCTGGAATGGGACACAAGATACAGAGAGTTAATTTTTAAAAAGAAAGTTCATTATGCTAATAATAGGTAATAATAGTAATTTTACGCCTGTTATAAGTCAAGGAAAATTTAAAGAGGAAGAAAATTAATTGATGGGTCTTATAAAAGATCTATATATGATATATATGAAGGGGCTGTCCTTGAAGATCATAGTGCCATGTTTAAGATCAGGAATTCTGATGTCCTGTACCTGTAGATACAAATTCTGGCTTCGACAATTGATCCCTTTGAAATTCAGTTTCTCCTCTCATACAATGAATCTAATGAAATAGTTACTATCTTATGGAACTTTATAAAGTTAAAATGTGCTTAGTGCAGATAATGTGCTTAGCACAGTGGCTTGCAAGAAGGAATAAATGTGTGTTATCTATTGATATTATCTTTGCTTAATAAACATTTCCTTACTAACAGGTATTTATTCTCTTCAATATTTTCTTTGATATAGAGATCTATGCATCTATCATGACAGTGTGCCTTGAATAAAGCATTATGAATAATTTCAATCTGAATATCAGACATGCATGATAAACTGTACCAAAAAAAAAACCCACAGATGAGGTAAAACAAGGTGAAATTTATTAAACAGTTTCAGCCTAAAACTGTCTATTTGACCAGTGAAATAAAATATCCAGCTGACAAAAATATGCAAGTTAGTATGTGAGCATTAATGTGAAAGTTACAGAAATGTTAGAGATTATTCAGTTGTGAGAATACCTAATTAAGTGGTCAGGGAAAATGTCTTGAAATCAATAAAAGGAAAAAAATGCCTGATAATGGACTAAGAAGGGAAATACCCCCAATTAATCTCTATCTAAAGTACTCAAATTTTTTTTCTATTTTTATATAATCACTCCCTGATCATTATAGTAATTCTATTTTATTTGTATTTTTTCTTATCAGTTAAATGATTTCTAACTCTAGAATATGAACCATACAACAAACTACCGGCATAAGTAGGAAACTGCATTTGATTTCTGTTTTGTTTTCTAAAGAGGGAGGGGAGAGGGGCAGAGGGGCCATACACTGAGCATGGAGTCTGATGTGGGGCTTGATCTTACAACCTGACATCATGACCTAACCCGAAATCAAGAGTCAGACACTTTGACTGAGTCACCCAGGCACTACAGAAAACCTACATTTGTACTATTGATTCTCACTCTTTTTCATTTTCTATCCTCAGGTGATTTGAAATCAGCTCGTCTGCCCAAGTCAGTGGAAGGATTAAATGATTCTGTGGTTTCTGAGTTTATGTTGTTGGGACTCTCTAGTTCTTGGGAAACTAAAGTTTTTCTCATGTTGATTTTTTCCTTGATTTATTTAGGGATCATCCTGGGAAATCTCTTCATTTTCTTTTTGGTAATTTTTGATTCTCACCTACATTCTCCTATGTACTTCCTGCTAGCCAACCTGTCACTCATTGATGTAGGGCTTTCCTCTACAACAGTCCCAAAGATGATTAAGGACCTTTTAAGTGAATACAAGATTATTTCTTTCCAAAGCTGCATGACACAGATATGTTTTATCCACATCATGGGAGGAGTGGAGATGATGTTACTCATAGCCATGGCATTTGACAGGTACACAGCAATCTGTAAGCCTCTTCACTACCTGAACATCATGAATCCTAAAATATGTGTTTCATTTGTAATCGCTGGCTGGGTAACTGGGGTGATCCATGCTATGTCTCAGTTTGCTTTCATTATAAACTTGCCCTTTTGTGGTCCTAATGAAGTAGACAGCTTTTACTGTGACTTTCCCAGGATCATAAAACTTGCATGCACAGATGGAGACAGGTTTGAGTTTATTATTGCTGCCAACAGTGGCTTCATGAGCATGGGCACCTTCTTCTTGCTAATTCTTTCCTACATCTTCATTTTGGTCACTGTCTGGAAACGTTCTTCAGGAGACTTATCGAAAGCATTTGTCACTCTGTCAGCTCACATCACTGTGGTAGTTCTTTTTTTCACTCCATGCATGTTTCTCTATGTCTGGCCTTTCCCCACATCGTCAATTGACAAATACCTGTTTATTGTTGACTTTGCTATTACCCCTGTCTTGAATCCCACCATTTATACATTACGGAATAAAGACATCAAGGTAGCTATAAAAAGATTGAGCAAACATGGATATTATGTCAAATTTTGCTGATTAAATCTGGCTTTGGAGCTCTAAAACTATATATCCATTAGCCTATTGAATATTTTTACTTAGGTTTCTGAAACTTAACACATCCAGATCTAGATATAACATCTACTTCATTGAATAGATATCTACTCCTGTAGATACTCATTACCTTTGCTACCACGGAAATTGTGAATCTACTACAATATGGGTGGTTTTAGCAGACAGAATCACTATCTACTAAATAACATTTATAACTGAAATTATGATAATTTGATAATAAAAGGATATAATTACTTCTCTTCTACTTCCTATAGGTTTGCAAATAAACTGCAAACTTGCTTTGGAGAATGTCAGGCATCATTATATCAAATATATGAAGGACTAGTAACTCTGTCTAGTTACTCAGGTTGTACTCCCTCAGAAGATCCAAAGACAAAAATTGATCGCCAGTAGTTTATTTGAAAGCCAATTTTTGGAAACATCATTAAGGATGTGGGAATTGAGACTAAGACATGAAAGATGCTTATGTTGATAAGTGTAACTGAGATTTAAGCCTATCATGGCCCACTGGGAGACTCTATAAACTGTGGCTTAGAATTGTCCTAACTGAAGGTAAAGGAAGCTGGAGGTTTGTTTGTTTGTTTGTTTTCATTTTCATAGAGTGCATTAACTCCTTAGTATGTCTCAGCTTTCCCACAGAGAATACTGTGTGTTAAAGGAAGCTGGTAGGTAGAATTTCAGATGTTGGCAGTTAAGAACCATCTCCTTGTTTGGAAACAATAAATGCCAATGTATATTCCACCTTTATTTATTTGTTTATTTGACATAAAGAGAGATACAGCAAAAGAGGGAGCACAAGCAGGGGGAGTGGGAGAGGGAGAAGCAGGTTTAGCCCGATGTAAGGCTCAATCCCAGGACCCTGGGATCATGACCTGAGCCAAAGGGAGACACCTAATGACTGAGCCACCCAGTTGCCCCTATCCTGCTATAGATTTTTAAAGCAGTAGCTGGATAAGATAATCCTGGGTTGAGAATCACTATTTTAAAAGTCATAGTGGATTTTCACTCAGTTCATACTTACAGATCTGATGTTATGTGCTAACTTCAAGTGCTTGGTCTCTACTAAGTTCAAGCAACTAGCCAGAAATTTTTTTTTCCTTATTTGTTTCTTTTCTTTTTCTTTCCTTCCCTCTTCCTTCCTTCCTTCCTTCCTTCCTTTTCTTTTCAGTTTTAAATTCCTTTATTGAAGTATAACTAATATATAGTGCTATATTAGTTTAAGTTGTATTCAACATTATTCAACATCTCTATGCATTACTCAGTGCTCACCACTGTGTTAGCTACCATCTGCCACCAAGAAATGTTATTACCATCTTGTTGACTATATTCTAGATGCTGTACTTTTCATCTCTGTGATTTATTTATCTTATAACTATCTTATTCCCCTTTGTTTATTTCACCCATACACCCACCGACCTCCCCTCTGGTGACCATCAGTTTGTTATCTGGTTTTTTGTTTCTCTCTCTTTTTTCTTTGTTCATTTGTTTTATTTCTTAAATTCCACATATGAATGAAATCATGTTTTTCTTTCTATGTCTGACTTATTTCATTTAGCACTATACCTTCTAGATCCATCCATATCATTGCAAATGGCAACATTTCATTCTTTTTTATGGCTGAGTAATATTCCTGTGTGTGTGTGTGTGTGTGTGTGTGTGTGTGTGTGTGTGTGTCTTTATCCATTCATCTATTGATGGATATGGGTTGCTTCCATATCTTGGTTATTATAACCAATGTTGTAATAAATATAGAGGTGCATATATCTCTTCAAATTAGTGTTACAGAAATGTTTTCTTATTATAAGAAAGCTGCAGAGGATGGAAGAGCACTGTTTTAAATCATAAAGTTCTACACTAAGATTCGCCTATAGGAGGTAACAAATTCTCCACATAATATCCATATGTGGCTCAGAAAATTCAAACACTACTGCATCTACCCTCAACCACTGGCCTCCTAAAAATTATCTTAAAGGGGTAAGTCCATGAATTTGGGGAAAATATATTTCCTACTCTCTGGTATATGTGTGACTTACAAAAGTGTCTAGAATTTTGCCATTTCTTTCTCACCAGTTCTGATAACATTATATCATCACTGTAATGGACCTGGAAAATGACCTATGGAATAGAAAACTGGAGAGTTGATAGATCCTTGAGATAAAACAGTGAGTTTGTATAGTTGCATCTTCCAGAAGAAAACACAATGCTTCTGAAAAATTTTGCTAATAACTTCTGGGGAAGATGGTAGAGTAGGAGGACCCTAAATTTATTTTGTCCCATGGATATAGCTAGGTAACACTTACATAAGGGAAAATAACCCAGAAAAGGACTCAAAGACTAGTTGAATGTACTCCACAAATGAAGGTAGAGAGAGTCTATATTGAAGAGGTTAGGAAGGATGAAGACTCAGTGGAAACCTAAGCCCTACATTTGACCACAAGAGGAAAGGAGCCATGGGTGTAGAGAGGGGCAAAAAGCAGATTAGTATACCAGGGAGCCTGCAAAAAGAAGAGAAATCCCAACAGCATATGGCTTTGAAAATCAGAAGGGCTAAATTTCATGAATGCTCCCACTAGTGGAACTTAAAGCCTGGAACTTTAAAAATCAGCAGGCTCAATGACATGGACGGAACTAGAGTGTAATAAGTGAAATAAGTCAGTCAGAGAAAGACAAATACCATATGATTTTACTCATATGTAGAATTTAAGAAACAAAACAGATGAACATAGGGAAGGGAAGGAAAAGTAAAACAAGAGAAAAACAGAGAGGGAGGCAAAACATAAGAGACTCTTAACTATAGGGAACAAACTGAGGGTTGCTGGAGGGAAGGTGGGTGGGGGGATGGGATAAGTGGGTGATGGACATTAAGGAGGACACTTAAAGTAATGAGCACTGAGTGTTGTATGCAACTGATGAATTATGGAACTTTACCTTTGAAACTAATAATATACTCTATGTTAATTAAATTGAACTTAAATACAACTTTTTTTTTAAAAATCAGCAGGCTCAGCTCTGAGAGAGCCCAGAGGGTGATAGAAATCTGAGCCCCTGACCTTAAAGAGATAGCATAGCCAATAGCTCACAGAGATACACCTTGGAAGCAACAGTTTGAAGGTGCCTGGAGCTTATGGGAGAAAGTTAGTTACTAATCTCATAATTATCTGAGGGACTTCTCTAGGAATAAAGGCAATAGTAGGTGCCATTTCCCTTACCCACCCCTCATCATAAACACACAACCATGTGCAAGAATCAGCACTGCTCCAGCATTCACTACCTAACTTGCTTACACTACCCCCAGCCCTCAAGCCAGACATGCCACAGTATGGGTGTTGCAGATCTCCTCCCCCAGAAGATATACACAAACCTTGCCAACACTGCACATCACCAGCTCCTGCAGAGAATGCCCACACCTTGTTAAAATGGTACCCCCAGCCTGTATGTTTTGCAAAATAGCCTGGCTGGCACAGTCTCCATAGCAGCTATGCGTTTCCTGTGGAAATGTTCTTCCTGAGGAAGAACAGCACACACAGCTCACAGGACCATAGCACCTCCCAAACCCCACTACCAGCCAGTCTCTTCACCAGCTTTGTGTACACTCTGAGAAGGACCAGCCCCATTTAGTTAAAAATGCAAGTCAAACCCACTACTTTCAAGAGCAAGATTTGTAGGTGACTTTCCTAACACAGAGAAACAGACACAAAGTAATAAGCAAAATGAGGAGTCAAAGGAAAGAGTCATAAATGGAAGAAGACAAAATCACCACAGGAGACTTAAGTGAAACATATATAATTAACATGCCTGATAGAGAATTTAAGGTAATGATCATAAAGATACTCAATGAACTTGAAAAGAAAGCGGAGGGCATTGGTGAGATCCTTAATAGAAAATGTCATAAAAACAGAATGTTATGTATATGTTTCACATTACCACAAAAATATTTCCAGGTTTTTAACTAACATGAATACTCAAATTAGCACTTTAAATAATCTCTCTTTCCTTTAGTTATTGCTTTAAACTCCTGGACTGGAGGAAAATTATTAAAGGTCAATTATGAAAGGTCAACTATCAAAGGTCTTTTATTCAGACTTCTCTTTCTCATTATAATATTAACCTTATTTTATTGTCATTTCTGGTGTCTCCCTGCCTAGTGCCAAGACTCCCTCACTGCCATAACTTCCAACTGACAGTTAATCTTTTCCAGTCAAGGAGGTTCATATATGAAAACTGCCTCTCCCTTTTGTAACTCCCCTTTATGATCCCCAACTGACCAATATTGGCCTTCAGATAGGGACATCTCTATGCCCCTATTCAGCAAGAAGAAATTACAGAAGATGGGACCTTCTGCCTTCAACAACCTTAAAGATTTAAGGATGAAAATTATTCAGGGGGGAAATGATGAGGGAGCAGAAGGTTAGCTGAGGACAAAGCATAAGCTGACACCCTTCAACTTCCCCCCACACCCATTTCTAGATGGGATATGTATAACATTCTACCAGGTTGCCAGAAGGAAAAACAACCTTAACTTGACACTGGCAAGGCCTCCCATATCTTGTAGATCCTCTTTAGCATATGAAAGTTCTTTTGGAAAACCTCCCTTTTTCTTTACCTCCCCCACCCTGTAGCATATAATCAATTGCTCCTCACAACCCCAGTGCAATTCGGCCCACAACGTCCTATCCCTGTGCTTTAATAAAACCACACTTTTGCACCAAAAAAAGTAAAAAGTAAAAATTAACCAATCATAGATGAAGAACACATTAAATGAATAAATGAAATTTAAAATGCACTTGATAGAATAAATAGCAGACTGCAAGAAGAGAAGGAATGAATTAATGAACTAGAACAGATTAATGGAAAATAATCAAACTGAAAAATGAGAGAAAAAAAGAATTATGCAAAACAAGAATGGTCTTCAGGAACACAGTGACTCCATCATCTCCATTATAGGGGTCCCAAAGGGAGAAAAGAGAAAAAGGGGGGGGATATATTTGAAGAAATAATAAATGCAAAGTTCTCTAATCTGCAGATCCAAGAGGCAGAGAAGCCTCAACAAAATCAAACCAAGGAAATCCACACAAAGACACATAGTAATCAATGCAGCAAACAGTGGCAAAGAAAGAAAATTTAAAGCAGGAAAAGAAAAATACAGTTACATATAAGCGTCCTCCAATAAGGTTATCAGCTGATTTCTCACCAGAAACTTGGCAGGCATAAAAGGAGGGATAATATATTCAAAAGCCTAAAGGAAAAAAGCTACAGATAAGAATATTCTTTCTAGCAAGGCTCTCATACAGAATAGAAGGAGAAATAGAGTTCCTCAGACAGGGGTTCTTGGATGGCTCACTCAGTTCAATGTCTGATTCTCAGTTTTGACTCAGGCTGTGATGTCAAGGTCACAGGATCAGACTCTATAGCAGGCTCTGTACTCAGTAGAGACCTGCTTGAGATTCTCCCTCTCTCTCTCTCCCTCTCCCTCTGCCCCTCCTAGCTCTCTAAAATAAATAAATCTTTAAAAAAAAGAGCTCAGACCAAAAAAACAAAACAAAACAAAACAAAACACTATAGGAGTTCATGACCACTAAAACAGCCCTATAAGAAATATCAATGGGGACTCTTTGAATGAAAAGGAAAGACCATAATTGAAAGTACAAAAAGTAGGGAATGGTAAAAATAAGTATATCTATAAAAATTAGTCAAGGGATTCACCAAATAAAATATGACATGATATACCTAAATGAGAGAGAGGGAGAGGAGTAAAGAATAGGTTCAAACTTAAGCAACTATCAACTTAATATAGACTGCTATATGCAGAAGATGTCATAAACAAACCTAATGGTAACCACAAATCAAAAACCACTAACAGATTTTTTTAAAAGCTTAAAAAAAAAAAAAAAGAATCCAAGTATAGACAACCAGAAAATCATTACAGAAAGCAAGAAAAGAAAGGATCAGGGGTTCCTGGGTGGCTCAGTGGGTTAAAGCCTCTGTCTTCAGCTCAGGTCATGATCTCAGGGTCTTGGGATCGAGCACCACATCAGGCTTTCTACTCAGCAGGGAGCCTGCTTCTCCCTCTCTCTCTCTTTGCCTGCCTCTCTGCCTACTTGTGATCTCTGTCTGTCAAATAAATAAATAAAATCTTAAAAAGAAAAGAAAAAAATCAGAGGAAAACTACAAAAACAACCACAAAACAAATAACAAAATGGCTATAAGTAAATATCTAATCACTAATTATGTCAAATATAAATGGACTATATGCTCCAATCAAAAGACATAGGTTGACAGAGTGAGCAAAACAATACCCAAGAATATGCTACTTATAAGAGACTCATTTTAGCTATAAAGATGCCCGAGATTGAAAGTCAGGAGACAGAGAAACATGTATCTTGCAAATGGATGTCAAAAGAAAGCCAGAGTACAAACACTTATATTGGACAAAACCGATTTAAACAACTGTAAAAGAGACAAAAAAGGACACTATATATTAATAAAGGGGGCAATTCAAAAGGAAGAAATAGTAATTCTAAATATGTATGCACCCAACATGGGAGGACACAAATATATAAAACAGTTATAACAAACATAAAGGAACTCATCAATAATAATACAATAATACTAGGGGACTTTAACACTCCATTTACATTGATAAACAGATCATCCAAACAGAAAATCAACAAGGAAACAGTGGCTTTAAATGACAGACAGGACCAGATGGATTTAACAGATAGATTCAGAACATTCCATTCTAAAGCAGCAGAAAACAAATTCTTTCAACTGTACACAGAACATTCTCTAGAACAGGTCACATATTAGCCCACAAAACAAGCCTCAACAAACTCAAAATGATCAAAGTGATACCAGGTACTTCTTTTCACCACAATACTAGGAAACTAGAAATCAACCCCAAAAATAAATAAATAAATAAATAAAATCTGGAAAGACATAAATACATGAAAGTTAAATAACATGTTACTAAACAATGAACAGGTCAACCAAGAAACCAATGAAGAAACCAAAAAGTATATGGGAACAAATGAAAATGAAAACACAACAATCTAAAACCTTGAGGTGCAGCAGAAGCAATTCTAAGAGGAAAGTTAAGAGCAACACAGACCTATCTCAAGAAGCAAGAAAAATATGAAATATATAACCTAAGGACTTAAGTAACAAAATTACAAATGAAAAGCTAATAACAACCCACTATAGAAATACAAACAATTGTAATAAAAGGATTATAAAAAAATTATATGCCAAAAAATTGAACAACCTGGAAGAAATGGATAAATTCCTAGAAGCATATACCTTACCAAAATTGAAACAGGAATAAATTAAAAAAAAAATTAATGGACTGACTATCAGCAAAGAGACTGAATCAGTAATCATGAAGGGGCACATGCACCCTCATATTTCTAGCAACATTACCAACAATAGCCAATTATAGAAAGAGCCCAAATATCTATTGACTGACAGATAAAAAAGATCAGTCGATGGACATTTGAGATCTTTCCATAATTTAACTATTCCATAATTTGGCTTTCCATAATTTAGCTAAAAATATTATATATTTATATTATTAAGCCACCAACAAGAATGAAATGTTGCCATTTGCAATGACATGGATGAAACTAAAGAGTGTTATGTTAAGTGAATTAAGTCAGTCAAAGAAAGACAAATACTATACTATTTCATTATACATGAAATTTAAAAAACAAAACGCAGGAATATAGGGGAAAGAAAAAAAAAGAGAGAGAGAAAAAATGGAGGGAGGCAAACCATAAGAGACTCTTAACTATAGAGAACAAACTAAGGGTTGCTGGAGGAGAGGTAGGCAGGAGAATGGGATAAATGGGTGACAGATATTAAAAAGGGCACTTGTTGTGAAGAGCACTTACTGGATGTTATATTTAAGTGATGAGTCATTAAATTCTACTCCTGAAACTAATATTACATAATATATTAACTAACTAGAATTTAAATAAAATATTGACACATTTAAAAAAAAGAGAGACAGAGGTTGAATTTTGAATCAGTAATTAAAATCTCCCAACAAACAAAGTGCAGGACCAGATGGCTTCACAGGCAAATTCTACCACACATTTAAAGAAGAGTTAATACCTATTCTGCACAAACTATTCCAAAAAGAACAGAAAAAGAAGGGAAACTTCCATATTCATTTTATGAGACTAGCATTAACCTGATACCAAAGCCAGATAAAGACATCACACAAAAAAGAGAACTATAGGCCAATATCTCTGAAGAATAATAGATCAAAAAATCCTCAACAAAATATAGCAAACTGAATGAAAAATACATTTAAGAAAAAAACCCATTTGCCAGGGGGAGGAATCAAGATGGTGGAGAAGTAGCAGGCTGAGATGACATCAGGTAGCCGGAGATCAGCTAGATAGCTTATCAAACTATTCCAAACACCTACAAATCCAACAGGAGATCAAAGACAAGAGCAACAATTGTAGAAAGAGAAAATCAACCACTTTCTGAAAGGTAGGAACAGCGAAGTGAATCCAAAGCCACGGGAAGATAAACCACAGTGGGAGGGGCCGGCTTCCAGGAAGCAGGGGAGCAACGGAGCACAAAATCAGAACTTTTAAAAGTCTGCTCCACTGAGGGACATCGCTCCAGAGGCTAAACCGGGGTGAAGCCCATGTGGGGACAGTGTGGTCTCAGGTCCCACGAGGTCACAGAAGGATCGGGGTGTCTGAATGTCGCGGAGCTCACAGGTATTAGAGCAGGGAAGCTGGCTACAGACACGGAGCTGAGGAGTGAGCTCTCAACTTGGGGTTACCTTATTGTGATCAGTGGCACAGGTCACTGCTCTGCAAGCAGGGACCCCAAAAGACCCAGGGAGACTCTCCTGGAAGAGCGCAGGGATCTGTGGAGTTTGGAGACTCCAGGTGGGGCTGTGTGCCAGAGAGAGAGATGCTGGGTCACAGGCTGGGTGAATTCAGAGCACAGCCGGAGGCCAGGGAGACAGAAGTGATTGAGCACTTTTCTCTGAGGGTGCACTGAGGAGTGGGGCTCCCAGCTCTCAGCTCCTCCAGACCAGAGATTGGGAGGCCACCATTTTCATTACTGTCCTCTGGAACTCTACAGAAATTGTTCAGGGAAAAAATGCTCCCAAAAGCGAACCCAAGCAAATTACTTAGCCTGGCCCCTGGTAAGGGTGGTGCAATTCCGTCTCGGGCAAAGACACTTGAGAATCATTACAACAGGCCCCTCCCCAAGAAGATCAGCAAGAAATCCAGCCATGACCAAGTTCACTTACCAAGAAGAACAGCAGAATTCCAGAAGAGGAGAAGTAAAGCATGGAATTCATGGCTTTGTCCCCATGATTCTTTTGTCTTGCAAAGTTAATTAATTTTTTGTAATTTCATTTTTTTCTTCTGCTATTTTTTTAACTTTTACCATTTCCTCATTTAACATTTTTTAACTATTTTATCTTCACAATACCTTTCAAAAAAAATCTTTTTTGAGCCTTCATTATTATAGTCACATTTTATCCTTCATTGTATCTAAATTTATTTTTTGTATACACATAGGGTTTTTTCTTCTAAAAAAATTTGGGATACAACTTTTTTTAATAGATAAAAATATACCCTAAATCTAGCACGGGGCTTTGTTCTAGTCTCCAGCCTGAGCAAATTCTCTTCACTTTCTTTTTCTCTGTTCTCCCAACCAACTTATATTATCAACTCCTTTTTAGAAAAAAAGAAAATTTTTTTCATCTTTATAGACATATTCCATCGCTTCATCATGTTTACCCTTATATATGGTTTTCATTCTTTAAAATTTTGGGAGGTAGTATCTTCTAAGAGACCAAAATACTCCCAAAATTAATTGGGTGAACCTGTTCTATTCACCACTCTAATATATATATATTTTTTTCTTTTCTATATTTTTTCTTTATTTCTTTCTCTTTTTAATTTTTTTTCTGAACTTCTTTTTACCTCCTCGCCCCCCCAATTTGGGGTCTCCTCTGATTTGGTTAAAGCACATTTTGCTGGGGTCTTTGCCACCCTTTTAGTATTTTATTCACTCCTTCATATATTCTTATCTGGATAAAATGACAAGGCAGAAAAACTCACCACAAAAAAAAAAAAAAAAAAAAAAAAAAAAAAAAGAACAAGAGGCAGTACCAAAGGCCAGTGACCTAATCAATAAGGACATTGGTAATATGTGAGATCTAGAGTTCAGACTGATGATTCTCAAGGTGTTAGCCAGTCTCAAAAAAAGGCATGGAAGATATTA